AAGTGAAACATTTTATATGTAGGTGAGCATTATTTTAAAGGCTGTAATTCATCTTTATATAAAATTAGTCTTCTTTTCATGTTCTTGTTAGAGATGACACTTACATCTCTTATTTTTGAGAAAGTAACACTCCTATAGTTGCTGACAGGTCATCCCAGTCAATGTTGACTTATTATCTCATCTAGTTAAATGAAAACGTGTGGGTTATTAGTGTAGGGAAAGAAGTTGTATTGGATGGTGTTACTGTACCTTTGCTCAGAGCTACATGAGTCGAAGTGCTGCATCCCAGGTGAAGGTATCTAGTACCTATCTTCCGGCTGAAACAACCTTATAATAATCTGCCAGTGGGCTTGGTGCATGCTTTATGTTCAGCGCTAATTTATCTGGGAAATTTTAAGTTATGAATACAGATGTGACCTTTCATGCCAATGACTACGCTTGAGTTACTGTAGGTGGAAGCAGGAGGGTATGGGAGCTTGCCAATGTTAAAACTGCTTTATAGTTTTGGCTTCCAAAATGGCATTTCTTATAATTGATTTTCTTGTGATCATAACCAGTTAAAGTACACCACTGACATCTGCTTATGCAATCTGAAATAGAGATCACTGAAGCTCTGATTTATAAGCACTTTTGGGATATATGTTGAATTTGATAAACACAGTCATCACATGAATTTATGACAATGCAGTTTTCAAAGACAGAATATTTACAGTTTAATATGGAAAAAAAAAAGAATAATACAATGTTGCTTTACATGCGCAGTGGATAGTATCACACCAGGAAGTGTTAAAACGACTGCAATATAAAACTTCATTACATATAGTGCCCTTCTTCTGAACATCCTATTGCAGTCTAATAGTTGTTAATTAGACACTGAGAAATAATGAAGGTTTGTACTTAAACCACCCAAAGTGTTCTAGAGCTAGCTACAACTCCTGGAATTACAGCAGGCTTATATTGTTGATCAGCTGTTGACCTAGTTTTTGCTTTTATCTGTCTGTAAAATGGGCATAATAATTGCCTGATGTACAGAAGTGAAATGAAAATCCATGTTTGGAAAGGTCTTTGGATGTTTTAGATCTGAGGATGATATAAGCTAGTGGAAATGAGAAATAAAAGTTATTTTCTGATGAAGTTTTACACATTTCTAAGAAAATTACAGGCACTACAGAGTTCTTGCAAACTGGCTCCAACCTGAGTACAGATTTACTGAACTGTGTTAGATATGTCTGAAGAAATCTGTAAGGATGGTTACTGCTTCCAGCCAACCATCACCTGACTAAACCACTTGCTTTTTCACCTTCTTTCTCAGGCTTGATTGTCACAGAAATACATAACTTTCATGTTTAATAAAAGAATTTGGAAGAGGCTTCATTTAGCAACGTGGCTTTTTATTTGCTTTACAACTTAAATCTTCTAGTGCGTATCTGCCTTAGGTAAATTGCTAAATACACTCTGTTATCTTGCCTCGGCATGCATAGAGACCCCTTGCAGATGCAATCACGTTGAGTTTCCTCCTCCAATGCCACAGGGAACAGTCTTGCTTTTCCTCACCTCTCCATTCACTCTCCAGCCAAACATGCTTATACGAGGGAGTATGTGTCTGAACGCACACTTGTGAGTATGCACATGCATGATGCCTCATGGTTGGGATTTTGGCTGCTAGCAAAGGATAACAGAGAGATGACTAGTTAATAGTCTCAGTTCCTAACAGGCGGACTTATGACCCCATGGAGGTGAACAAACTCATTCCACAATGTCAATCACTTCAGATAAATTTTTCAACTACATACTTAGGGTGTTCAGTAGGATTTTCAGTGAAGATGCCCAGAGTGGTATCACTGATTGTCACTGTGCTTCCATCTAAACGGCATTTGTCTTCCAGGTGCCAGGTAAAACACTGGAAATCCATATCCAGCTAGTAACTTACTAGGTTAGTGGGATGCCATCCGGACTGCCACTTGCAGCCTTTCACAGTAAGATTATTAAATTTGCAAGCCAATTTATAGTTGTATTGGTGGAGTGGTGATGGTCGTATTGATTGAATAACTGAGGGACTGTGACTGAGAAACTGTGGGACATCAAAGTGCCTGATCAGAGGCAGATGGAAGTCTGGCCTGCGATTACATCCACCCTCCTTTAGAAGGCAGAGTATTGGCGAAATCATTCAGGTACCAGTCAAGCCTGGGCATAGCCTCTCATTACTAACTGGAAAAAGCACCAACATATAGCACCAAGAAGTATTATGGACACTCTTTTCTGCCTGTGCTAGTCACTCGTTTTCCCAGGGGTGATAATTACTGTTACATTTAATAAGCCCCTGAACCATTTTCTAGCATTAGAAGGTTAGCATCCTCTCTACAGTGATCTGCCTTAGCAAAAATTGATTTGTAATATACGATAGCAAGTCAGGGGCAAAGCTAATAGAAATCTTAACTCCCGGTTCACCTTTTTAACTCCTATCATATTTCCCCTCTGAATCCTCTTTCGTTTTTTAAATATCATGCTAATCTAAAGAAGAGCACTGAACTTCAGTAAAGCAGTCACCATACTACTGTGTATACTGTGTTTTCCACTGTTTTTCAACTTGTGAATATATTAATTTCAAGAAAACAAATTACTCCTTGAGCACTAAGAACTAAAAACCACACATTTGTGCATGAAGGTTGACTGTGAGCTCTGAATGAATGTTTTCCATCCTTTGAGGGATTCATAAGGTATCTTTCTTCTGTGGATTTTCTGTTGTCCTCATAGCCTTTTCATTAGAAGATTTACAATGCTTCTTTCTCTAGTCTACTACCTTCTCACAAAACTTGTAGGAGCCAAATTACCTTTGAGATTTCTGTGCCCTATGAAATATTGTTAAAAATTTATGCAATTAGTTGAGACAGGGCAGAGATAGACAAATCAATAAGCAAATATAAAAGCTTAATTTCCTTACAAAGTCAAGTATGTAACTAACAACTAAATTTAACATCCTAAAGTAATTAATTTAGCATATTATTGTTCCCAAATGAATTCTCAGATGACATGGTCTCATACAACTACCAGTGAACTCAAACCGTAAGTTCAAATGACAAACTCCTACTATAAAGATGGTCAAAATAAGAAAATCAGATATACCAGAGAGTCATTGTCTGATTACTACCCTATCTGATAACAAAGGGGACTTAGATCATAGCATCACATGAGAGAAGGGAAAGTAAAATTTTAAAAAGAGGATTATCTCCTCAGTCATTTCAGGATGGGGAAGTTAAGAATCAATATGTACAGGAAGGAAAATATGAAGGTTTAATCTAGAGTCAATATTTAGAAGACTGAACTGCAACTAAAGAAAAAGCAGAAGTAGACTTTTAGGGGGTGTATGTTTTTGTGTGGACTGCTGTCCAAAGTAAGCATGTCATGTTATCTTTGTATGTTTATATAGTCTGTGATCTCCGTGCTATGCACTTTAGTCATTACACTTCCTTGGATCTTTTGCACTGCTCCACTTGGTTTATAAGAAGGGAGCACTCAGGAAGTGTATTAGAAAGGGCAGAAAAAGGACGTGGCTGGAGTTCATGTAGTCAATTAAAAGTTAAAAGAGCAGATGTCAAGCACGTGATGAACTTAAACATAAGATGCTAGGATTCACTGAACACTCATTCAGCTTAGGAATTTGAAGAAAACTGACAAACTGGGTATGTTCTTACATGACAAATCCAAGAGGAAGTAGTTGTATGGGACTAGATTGCTGAG